GAATAGGGCTCTGGGAGTGGTCGATCTGGAGATATTCAGCCCAAAAGTTGGTCTCTGGCGTTGATTAACTCAGGCCAGGGCTTCTAGCCCTTGATCAGTGACGTTTAGAGATTTCCCGGTTGTTACATTGTCTTCTATTGAGTTCTTCCATTGGTTGATCTGGAGTTTCCCAGGTGTTAATTGCTGTCTGCTACCATGTTACACATTCAATCACTGATTCACTTGCTCTTTCAGGGGCCAGCCTGATACAGGGAAGGACAGTTTGATTCCTGCCCTTGTTAACATTGTTACAATGTATAACTTACTTATGAAACTAAATACATTCAGTTGAAAGATGAAAGGTGAGGAGTATAAAATATAAGCTACCAATGCCATAGCACACAAATAGATAAAAATACCAAACTACAAGGGGAGATACAAAATGCGCGCACACACATTTTTAAACACAATTCCTTATCTTAAAGTGAAAGAGAGAGGAAGGAAGAAAAGGTAGAAAAAGAGAAACATATCCAAAGAGGGGAGAGCAAATGCAGGCAAGAGGAAAAGGGGGCTTTCTGCTACAAGTGCAGTCCATAAAACTCTTTAGTATAGGCTGAAAATACTATAAAGCTGAATTGTGAATCTTAATAGAACAGGAGTGGACAAAATACGGCCCCAGCCCATGGCAGGTCCCTTGGTCCCACCTAGCTCAGGTGCAATCCATCTGTGGCACATCCTGCCACCCTCTGGGCAAGCAGTGGGGCTGGGGCAGCTCCACAGCTAGACTCCCTTTCTAGGCAGCCCAGGTGGTGGCGACTCCTTCCGGTTCCTGCCGCTGCTGGCTCCAGCCCCATGGTACTGCCGGGGACCTGTGTTGCACAGCCCTGAGCCCATGCGCCCCATACTTGCTCAGATCCTGTCTTTCCAGGCTCAGCAGCGGTGGTGTGAGACAGAAGCTGTTGTTCGGTGTTTGGGGGGGGAAGCGGCCTCTCCGCCTAACCACTGCCAGGCCATTCCTCCTGCCCCTGTCCAGAGCTCAGGCTGCCCAACAGGGCAGTGGTGGCAGTGCAGGGCAGCCCGGGCGGTGCGGCGTGGGCTTTGGGCAGCTGCAGCAGGAGTGGTCCAGCAGTGGTGAGGGGGAGGGCCTCTTTCCCCTGTGCTGAGCAACAGCTTCTGTCTTGTGCTGCCATGGCCGAGCCCAGAGCAGGTGCAGGGCACACCAGGTCAGGGCTTTGTCCAGATTCTGGCTGATCCAATCCTGCAGGGCTGAGTCTAGAGTAGGTGTGGGGCAGGCTGGGGCTGTGCACTGCTGGTGGTGGAGGGGAGGTGCCACAGGGCACATGGGCTTTGGGCTGTTATGGGGCAGGGGCAAGTACTGTCCAGCTCATGGGGGGCATGTGCTCGGGGCTCCCATGCACATCCAACCATACCCACAAACCCTCCCCCGTAAACGTCACAACCCCTTCCAACACACACACGCGCGCACACACACACACCCCCCTGCGCCTCCGGTTGGAGCCCTACTCACTGCTATGCACACACACACCCCACCACTGATACCCACCCACACACATCCCCACAAATGCAGCCCTCCACACAAATCTCCACACCTACTCACCCATACCCACCCCCCCTGCAGTATACAAGAGTAAGGCCTCATTTTGCGTATTATGCAATTACACAAACACGCACAAATCAGGACAAAAACAGTTTTAAAAATAAAAGTAAAATACGTTATTGCCAATATTTGATTTTTAGTATATGATTTTTTTTTTCTGGTTCCAAGATGGCAAACCTCCTTCCAAAAAGGAGTACTTCTGGGGGTAAGGGGAGGAACTTCCTGTGGCAAAGGTCAGGGCTTGCGGGGGTGGAACTTCTGGTCCCAGGATACTGACCAGGAGTGGCACCTGTCAAGAGGGGAGCTACCCTTGCAGCTCTCAGTAGCTTGCCAGAACTCATTAAGCAGCCCTACATCTGAAATAATTGCCTGCCCCTGTAGTAGAACTTGGAGAGGCTGTGTTTTACAGGAGACGCGTATCACATCCCAAGAGTCCAGAGCAGGACTGCCCAACTTTCAGGAAGCTGAGAGCCACAGCTCTGAATAAGCTGCATGTGTAGCTTGGAGTCAGAGGCCTGGACTCACTACTGCCACGTGGCCACTTAGTACTCCCTTGCCCTTTCCTTTCTCTCCCCCCCACCCCCACTTCTTGTTTCATAGGCAGCCCAGTTTCCCCTGCCTCTGCACCACCTCCTGTCCAGCTTACCCATCCCCTCCTTCCTCCCCACCAACCTCCCATTTTGCTATACCCACAGCACCCTGCCTTCCTCTCCATACGCACACCCACCGGTGGTAAAGGTAACCTCACTCCTGCCTTGTGCACAGTGGAAGCAGTCCTGGCCTCTTCCTGCTGTGCTGCTCCCTAGGAGCAGGGGCAGGGAGCAGAAGCTGGAGGAGGGCAGAAGAGCCTGAAGAACCCAGCTGCTGTGGCAGGAGCAATGGTTGGGGGAAGGGAGTGGAAGTGATGGCAAGAGCTATGGTAGGAAGAGGGGTCAGTGGCAACCATGTTGGGAGCCCACGGTTTGCATGCTAATACTTTGGGGGCTACCATTTGGACAGCCATGGTCTAGAGCAGTGGTCCCCAACCGGTCGATTGCGATTGACTGGTCGATCATGGAGCCTTAGAGTCAATCAGAGATGGGGTGGGACTGAGCATGTGTGTGCTGCCTCCTCCC